CCGAAGGCAGATGCTTAACGACTGAGCCACCCAGGCGCCCCCATAAATCTTTTTTTTTAAAGATTTTATTTATTAGAGAGAGAGAGAGAGAGCAAGTACAAGCAGGGGGAGGGGCAGAGAGAGAGGGAGAAGCAGACTCCCCTGCTGAGGAGGGAGCCCAATGTGAGGCTTGATCCCAGGACCCTGGGATTATGATCTGAGCTGAAGGCAGACGCTTAACCAACGCCAGCCAGGTACCCCAAGATCGTAAATCTTAATAATCAATAATATTTCTTTTATCATATGTATGCGATAGAACAAAATTCTGAAGAATACTCTAGTTCTCTTCCTAGAACTTGTTTTCTTAGTTCTTTTCCTAGAACTACTTTTTTATTTTTATTTATTTATTTATTTTTTTTTTTTTTAAAAAGATTTTATTTATTTATTTGACAGAGAGACACAGCGAGAGAGGGAACACAAGCAGGGGGAGTGGGAGAGGGAGAAGCAGGCTCCCTGCAGAGCAGGGAGCCTGATGTGGGACTTGATCCCAGGACCCTGGGATCATGACCTGAGCTGAAGGCAGTCGCTTAACCGACTGAGCCACCCAGGCGCCCTAGAACTACTTTTTTAAAAAAATATATTTTATTTATTTGAGAGAGAGTGAGCCCAAGAAGGGGGAGGGGCAGAGAGAGACGCAGACTCCCCGCTGAGCAGGGAGCCCTTGGGCTAGATCCCAGGACTCAGGGATCATGACCTGAGCCAAAGGCAGACACTTAACCAACTGAGCCACACAGGCACCCTTCCTAGAACTACTCTGATTCTTTTCTAGTTACACTTGAATTGGTTTAATTTGCCCTGAGTCATTACCTAATATATAAAAGGTGCTGGGAATTTTTATGAAGGTGCAGGTCTTCAGGGAAGTTTATCCATTGCAATATTTGGGTCAGTAGTGGCCTAAAAAAATATGTCTAACTGGGTTTCTTATCCACATTCTTTTGATTATTTATTTATTTTAGGATTGTTTTTTTATTTTGGAGAGAGATTATTTATTTATTTTAGAGAGAGAGAAAGTGAGTGAGGGTCCACATGCTCAGGGTGAGTGGCGGGGGGGTGAGGGGGAGTGAGGAGAAGAGGAAGAGGGACAAGCAGATTCTGTGCTCAGCCATTGCAGGGCTCAGTCTCACCAGCCTGAGATCATGACCTGAGCTGAAATCAAGAGTCACTTGCTTAACCGACTGAGCCACCTGGGCTCCCCTTTTTTGCATATTCTTTTGAAACACGGGTTATTACTTTGAACATCAAATAACTTATAGAAGCATTAGTCTGTGTTGATTAGTCCATGTTATGGTAGCATTAGTCCATTCTACGAAATTCATATTGAATTCTCAGTGCCATAATAACTTGGCTGAATCCTTTATTGGACATAAGAGTAATGGATTTTTTCTAGTGTTTGTTTTCTGTTGTTTGTTATTATTACTGCTTTTTATTATTTCCTTTTTTTTTGCTTTCAATTTATTTTTAT